AGTCACATGCAGCTTTTTGCAGTCGTTGTGTCTGGTGTTTAATCAAGCTCCTCCTATTTCACTGTACTTGCCCTGACAGGTAATATCATGATGGGCCATTAGTGCAAGAAAGCACCTTCATCTCTGTCTTGCTAAGAGGTGAATAGGAATGAGAATTTTATGGGAATTCTGGGGTAATGTTAAAACCTCACAGTTTTAGGACAGATATAGATGTAGGACTTGGAGCATCAATTTGCATTACCTGAACCCTCCTCCCTCTTCTCTTTCTTTCTCTCCCTATTTGTCTCCAGTTTCCAGTGAATTAGAGGGGTACAGCTCCTGTATCCTCATGTCCAGGAACCATTGCTCTTTTTCTGCCTATTTGGGACAATTCCATTGTTCTCCATCTAATCATGGAATGGTTTGTTGGAAGGGCCTTAAAGACCATCACACTTCAATCCACCTGCCATGGGCAGGGACACCTTCCACTAGACCACGTTTCTCCAAGCCCCATCCAACATTTAAAGAGATGGGATCTAATCAGAGCTCTTCAAACACCTTCCTCTTCCCCTTTATCCATCCCTCTGCTACAGCCTCACACTGTGGGAGTTGTTCTGCAAACTAACCCACTAATTGTGAGAGGAGAAGGAATTTTCACCCTTTCCTATAATTTTATTTTTGTGGTCAGAACCAGCCATGGGTGCAGAACCATGTGCATGATATATTGCTATGAAAGCTGCCCCAAATAAAATCGAGTACAATGCTGAGATCTTTCACCCCGGGTAGATTGTGAGATGCTCCTCTGGATGCAAGGCACCGCTCGAAATGGAATTCTCCTTTACCTTTGGAATTCCTGGCATTTTCTCACCTCTGACTTTGACTTGGAATGTTGTTCTGTCGTCCTTTGTTTCACAGGTGTAGCTGCCTTGGTCTTGCTGTGTCACCCTCTTGATGATGAGCTTGCGTTGTGTCCCCTGGCAGACGATTGTTGTCCTCTGGTCCTGCTTCAGCTCAGTCTGACCCTTCCTCCACACCACGGCCCCGCCCGCAGCTGACACCTCACACACCAGCTCCAGGCTTTCAGAAGGGCTGACTGATACTTCTGGAGTCGTTTTGGGCTTGTTGACAAAAGTAACAGCTTCATCTGGAGTGGAAAAGAGAAAACAGTTTGTATGGAGGGAGCAGAAAATACAGAAGAAAGTTTCCCTGCATCCTCAGAACAAGCTCCTTGGAAAATCATAGAAATGGCTTGTGAAATGATGAATACAAAAGGAATTTAGCTTCCCCCCCCTTTGGTAGACCCTCTTATCTATCTCCAATAATAGTGGTTCATTTTCTTTTAGTATCCATAGGCCAGCTTTGAATGTAAAACCCCTCAGGGATTGGTTAAAAGTAGAATTCCCTTGGTAATTGATGCAAACTGTAAAACCCTCAAAAGAGATAAAAACCCCTGTAAAACAATAGCCGTGGGTATATGTAGATAGGATGCTAGAATAGAATAGAATAGAATAGAATAGAATAGAATAGAATAGAATAGAATAGACCATGGATTTGTGCCTTTCTGCACGCCCCGGTTTCTTTTCCCCCTGGTCTGAGAGCTCCCCACAAGCCACAATTACATCTGGGCAAGGCTCGGGAATTTGCTCAGTCACTGAGGGCTGCAGGAGCAGCCTCAGGGACCCCAAAGGGACCCCAAAAACCCAGCCAGTGACAAGTTTGTGCCTTGGTACGGGTTTATCTGCTCAAAGTCAGGCTACAGTAATTATTGATCGTTATTCCATTATCACACACACTGGATGCCTCTGACAGATGGTGCAAACCCCTCTGATCTTCAGATAATTGCTCTCAATTACAGTGAAATCCCCTTCATCTGCCCTACATCCTCCTGGATCTTTTAAATCAAGCTGAGATGCCCTCAAGTTGCTCACACTTCATTTATCACCCCTTGATTCTGATGTCAAACAAGCTCTGGGGGATAAGTGTTGATGTCTGAGGGCAGAAACAGCTTTGAAAACACCTGGGAAATGTCAGAAAATCTAGTTAGAGGTGATGAAGACCCTTTTTCAAATGTTTCTGACTCCATTCCTGCAGCTCCTTGTTCATAGTATCAGTCCTACTGGACTAATTCTTCTCCAGGCTAGGGCACATATGGGATAATCTCATTGATAAAATATTCTCCAACTTCAAGTTAGGAAAAAGCTCTGAGCAGCCTGGTCTAGTGGAATTTATCCCTGTCCATGGCAGGGAGTTGGAAGGAGATGGATTTTAAGGCCCTTTCCAACCCAAACCATTCCATATTTCTATGAATATAGGAGTCAATAATCTCATATCTTTTGGTTGAAATTGATCTTCCCAGCAGAGAACTCAGAAGTGCTCACACAGCTCAGCTGAGGTTCCTGCATGGACAGCTCAGCTCAAACCCTGCTGACAGCAGAGCTATGGACTGTGCAAACAGCCACACGGAGTATTTGTCATGTAGGCAGCAACAATACAGCATTTTTTCCAATTAATGCTCTTTGCAAGTGTCTTTGTAAAGGTAAAAGTGAAAGCAATCAAGTGAAGACAGAGATCTTGGTGTAAATGTGAGCAAGCCTCCTCCACACACCTGTCCCTTAGCTAAGGAGCAATATTTGGTGGGCATGTCAGGTATTTCAGAGCCTTTGTTCATCAGGGCAGCCCTGGCCTGAAGAGCAGGCTGAGGGCTGTCACCTAGAGCCAGCCTCACTCAGTATTGCATTTCTTTTAGCAGCAACTGCTGCTTTCAGTCACTGAGTATCCCAAGGACAATTTCCACGCTAGGCAAGCGTTTAATTAAAATTTGCATTCATTAGGACTGACGTATTCTCCAACAATTAGCTGACCAAAGGAGGATTCCCTCCAGAATCCTGCTGTTCAGGGCTGTTGGGGTATCTCATTACCCTCAAGGCAGATTGATTCCCTGCTCTGGGACCACTCCCTGAGTGTGCAGTGCAGCTTCTCAACACTCTGGAAAATTTCTATGGTGACACATGAAACAAGGAGGAAGCTGCCCTGGTTAAGGTGTTGTTAACAGGTTGTAACTCAATCCCTGCTCACCAAAAAGTGGGGATAGGACATAGCATAATGGCTTCAAACTGCCAGAGAACAGGGTTAGATGGGATATTAAGAATAAATTCTTCCTTGTGAAAGTGGTGATGCCCTGGCACAGGTTCCCAGAGAAGCTGTGGCTGTCCCTGGATCCCTGGCAGTGTCCAAGGCCAGGTTGGACAGGGCTTGGAGCAATCTGGGATGGTGGAAAGTGTCCTTTTCCATGGCAGGGGGTGGAACTGGATGATCTTTAAGGGCCCTTCCAACCCAAACCTATCTGTGATTCTATGATTTAGCAGATAGCAGTTTATTGCCTCAGCCATGTTATAGGAATTACAGGTGAGATTCACCCAACCTGCCCATGGCCAGCAAAAAGTTTATACCAAGCTCAAAAGTTTATATCCCCTGTACCTGATGCTCAGACAAAGGCACAACCAGAATACTTTTAAAATCTATCTTAGCCAGCTCTAATCAGACAGTATAAATCAGATTGCACAAATTGTCTTTTGAGGGGCCACTTTGGGCAGATCCTGGTTGGCTCTTTCAGATCAGTTTTTCAATGGGTAAAGTTAGGGACTGGGAATTTCACTCCAAGAGAAATTGCATAATGTTGGATTCTCAGAAGAGAACTGCAGGTGAGATGCAGAGTGAATTCCTGAGCAAACACCAGCTGGAAACACTCCCTCCAGCTCACTAAATGCTGCAGGAATCCCTCAAGACAAGTGCTGTCCTAAATTAATCAGCTTTGCTGAGTCTTTAGTTAGCTCATGAGCAGCATCACAGTAACCTGGATATTCTGTTACAGGTCACAAGCACTCAGCTGTGACTTCTCTTGAATTGCATTGTACTGCAGACATGCCAGGAGAAGCTTTCAGGAGAATTTCAATCTTAAATTTAGGACCAGGTTAAAAATTAGGCTCCAAGCACAAGCTAGAAAACCCCATTTGGAAGAAAACTTCCCACAAACATGCAACCAGAATCAGTTGAATTTCACAGATATTGAATTTCACACATGAGTTCTTGTGTCATTTTATCCTCTGGCTCCATCCTGGGCTGGAATGCAGTGGTGACAAGCATTTCTCTTCTGGGCTTGACCTGAGCACCACGTGCTTTGTGTGATGGGCACGGGACACAGGCTGATGGAGTCACAGGGAATGATCCCTGAGACCACAGCGTCCTTTGGGAATGGCAGGAAGTGTTTGACTCCCAAAAATCAGGAATTAAACTGTCAAAGGAGGCCACATGGCTTTCACAGCAAGACTTTGAACCCCTGACTGAGGTGGTGCTAAAATGATGCACACACTGAGCTAACAGAATAAAGGCCAGATGTGGCTGCCAGCTGTTCAACCAGCATCGTGCTTGGGTTGTGCTCCAGCCCAAGAAAAAGCTTGAACTGACTCAAATAAATCACAGCACTGTTATATTATTTGCCTATACTCCTCGTTTGCATTAGGATCACAACAAGGGTCAGAATCTCTCAAAGTGTAGCGCAAGCTTGGCCCAAAAATCTGTCAATTTATAAGGTAGGACAAGCCTAAAGAAAAAAATCTTGCATTTCTCACAGACTCTGATCCTATACTTGCACTACAAACTTACCTGAGACTTTTAAATCAAAAGTAAGGGTGTCATCCCCAATTTTGCAGGTGTAAGTTCCTTCATCTTCTTTTGTCACAGCCGAAGCCACAAGCTTGTGCAGTTTTCCTTTGTCTTCCATGGTGAATTTCTTGCTGGCTGTGATTTCCTTCCCATCTTTGTACCACTTGACCATGATGTTGGCCTCGGAGGTCTCAGACACAAACTCAGCCTGTTTCCCAGCAATGGCCTTGACCACTCCTCCAGTTTTCTCTTTGTTTATGAAGTTTGCAAGTGCTGAAACAAAACACGGGCACAGCTCTGGTAAAGAATTCTGTGCACAGCAATAAAAATGGACATTGACATCTGCATTAGGTATTCCTTTATCATAAGACAAAATCTATTCATTTAATTATGGATTTAATGACTAGACTCCAAAGCAGGCAACTTTACAACCATATTCCTGATTATCCCATGTCCAAAAAAGCAGAGCAAATAGGCTGCACAAGAGGCTGAGTCAAGGAGAAGCTGCTCCAGGAAACAGAGCTTTAAAATAATATTTTAAAGAGAGGTGAGGAAAGAAATAATGGAGATAAAGTCGGGAAGGTTATTCAATCATTATATTGCAACCACCTGGCAAATAAATTTGCTCTAGAAGAGGTTAAAATATAGCCTAGCTAAATTAAATTACATAAAATTAATAATCTATATGGATGTCTCATAGGACCAAAATGAAAAGAAATTTATTCCTAGAAATTAACTGGAGCATAGAAAACAAACAATAAATCTGGCATCATATTAACATGGAGTGAAATAATTGAGTCACCAATTGCCTCAAAGCAAAAGATTCAAACCCCCACCAATATCTAAGGGGAAGGGAAGGGAAGGGAAGGGAAGGGAAGGGAAGGGAAG